AAGCACCAGTGAAATCTAACTTAGCCACATAACATTTAGCCACTAGGACTAATGGGAAGTATGTTATTTATTAAATATTTCAAATTAAATATTTTATTTTGAAAGTAATTTTTTTTTAATTGCTAACTTGTTGGCAGCTTTTCACTTAAGGCCAACAGTATGGCACAAATGACTCTCTGTGTAGAATTTAGCAGTTGAAATAGAGGTTAGGGTCCAATCTCTTAACACCATGAGAATGTTTCCATTGTCTTAAGGGCATCCCTTGCCCCATCATGTCTCACAGCTATGTCACCTTCATTGCAAGGAACTAGCAAAACAGAATATTGCCCAATTTAACAAACATTTGTTAACTTCTACCATGTCTCCAGCAGGATGCTGGTTACTGAGGATACAGAGATGAGTGAGAAACATCTGTGGAGCACCCTTTAGTGGTCAGGCAGTGTGTCAAGCACTGGGAATACAGCATTGGTTTCTGTTCTCATAGAATTTTTTCTGGCATTTCACACTCTATTGGGAAGGAGAGATATGAATTATGATAGATGCAATAGAAATGAACCTAGAGAAGAAAGCAACTCATTCTGCTTCACTGACACAGGGAAAGCTCCACAGAGAAAGCAAAATTTGAATGTTGCCTTGAAACATGAATGATGTGTCCTAGCCTAACAGGGTTTGCCTTATATTTCAGGCAAAAAAGCATGAAGACTTTAAAAATGTATCTTATTTTTAGAGGAACTATCTGTTAGGATGACCTTGGCTGATGATTACAGAAAATCCAATTCAATATGGCCTAAAAAGTAAGGACATTAGCTCAAAGAGAAACCCAGAGGAAAGGTGGCAGCAGAATTGGTTAATTAAGGAGCTCAACGCATTATCAGGAAGATGGGTCTTTTTCAAATTTCTGCTCTGCTATCCTTGGTGTATTGGCTCTATCCTCAGGCTGATTCTCTTCCTGGCCACAGCATTTCCAGGCATCACATCTAGGTGCAACAGTGGTCAGAAGAAAAAGAAACTTAATGAAGAAACTTAATGACCTCTTCCTGAGTATAGAAATCTTTCTTGAGACCTCCCGAGTAGACTCCCCTTTGTCTCATTGGTCAAAATTGTACTGTCGCTGACTAGACCAACCTCAGGCAAGAGAAATGAGACCAACAGTGGCTGGACCTTGGGCTGGAGCTTCGGTCTGCCTCTGCCATAGTACATTGGCCATGAGATTGAGGGGGGAGGGAGGTAGAGAAATTGTGTAGATAGTGACGTGAATCAGCTTCAGGAACCAAGATTTGGTGTCATTAGCTCATAGAGAAACTACTGGGATGGAGAGAGTTTAGTTTGAAAGGAAAGCAGAAGGCAAACTTGCTTTGTAGGGCATGTCAGAGACTTATACCCTAACTTCTATGCTATGGGGTGGTGTCATTTCTAGGAAAATATAAAATTACATGATTTTGAGCAAAAAGCATCATTTTTAGTAAGATTCTTGGTCTATCTTGATCCCATCAAGTATAATAAATCAGATAGAGGTATTTAAAATACCAGGAATAGTGTCTTCTATAATATGTATTCTTGTATCACACACACACATCCTTCTGCTTTATTTTTTGTTCCCAATCAAAACTTGGAAGTTAATTAGGAAATAAAAGACATTTACATTCAAAATAAAATAGCATAGTTAATTCTATCAAGTAGTTTTTCTCTCAAAGACTATTTTTGATTATTGAACAATTAATTGTTCAGTTACATACCTCTTTCTTTAAAAAAGGCAAAGCAAGAAACAGGAGCAGAAACATACTTTTTTTTTTTTTTTTAAACTTTATCCTTTTTCACAGGAGTCTTTGTTGTTAAGTTAGAAAATGGCCCCCCCTTGTGGCCAAAAATCAGCTAATGGGGCATAGGAGCAAAAAATGAAACAAACTTGAAGCAAATCTCCAGAAAGGAGGAGGCAGGAAAACAAGAAAAGATTGCCCCTTTGGAATGATGCTATTGTTACGTTTCTTAGATTAGAAATTGCGGGTTCATAAACACTTAAAACACCCCTTTGTTGATGGTGCTGTGGTTAATTCTGATTATTAACTCCAATTCTAAATGCAGATTTGTATTTGATCTATGCTGTAGGAAATTTATTTTTTTTAAATCCTATTATTTTCTACATTTTCACTATATTCACTGTTAGCTTGTACAATATGTACAATATGAACAATCATAACAAATATCTTTACCTCTTTTTTCCTCAAAAGTATTAGCTATAGTTAGATCGCTAATGGAGGTAACATTTTTGGAAGGTTAATGGGGATTTAGAAAGACAAAATAGGAAATTAGGTGGTCAACGATGATTTCTAAAAATTATATATTTTCAAATCAGCTGCCTTTAATATTATCGCCAATCCTTGTATGTATGCTATTTTAAAAAAATAGCATGGTCATGAGTTATTATTTCAGGTAGCCACAAATGATGGGTGTAGTCCCTGAATGCCAAGGAAAGCCTTAAAGACTGCCATTTTTCTTTTTTAAAGTGAAAAAAAACACAACCTTACCAGGAAAATATAGATCTTAGTTTAGCTTTAACACCTAGAAAAATACCGAAGCAAATCACCGATCAGCCAATTTGTATTCATCTCTAGGAGAGTGCAGAATGTAAAAAAACCCAGAAACATAGCTTTGTAAACACAAAAGTAAATAAGCGTAATCTAACTAAAATTAAGGTGAACTGAGATAAAAATGAACTAATGATCTATAAATTGATCCAATTTCCTGAATAACAATAATAGTATTTGCTCTAACATTTATTGAGGGTTTGCTATCAACCAGGCATTATGCTAAGCACTCCACATATATTGTCTCATATAATGCTATTGTTATAATTCGCATTTCACAGATGAAGAAACTGAGGCTTATGGAAATTTGAGTACTGTGACCAACATCAAGTCATAGGTCAGATTTCAAACTCAGAGCTGGCTCACTAACTCAACCTCCATGTTTGTTGGAAACCAAGACTGGTGATTCCCAGGCTCACATACTTCAACCTTCTGCATTGTTAAGTTGTATCTAGTTTAGTCGTGGGTATTCAGTTCAATCTGTAAAAGCTGGAATCTTCCGCATGATGCAGTACCCAAGTTGCTTAACAAAGACACTATTGTAAAGAGAGCCCACTGGGGTCGATTAAAGAATCAAAAGTCAACGGGGCAGACATTCTGACTAAAGAGAGAAAGGCCAGGGATTCAGTTTGGGAAGACTCTTTACATTATTCTAAAGGTAAGGATTTAGACTTTCTGACTCTGTGAAGCATAATATTAGATGATAATTGTACTCTTTAGTGTCTGGAATCCAACTATATTCTAGTTTGGTTTGGCCAAAGCTGTATGGCTCTAGGTCTGGTTGGAGATGGAATAGAGCAGTCGATTTTAGTGTGGACCGATTCTGGGAAATTCATCCTCATCTTAATTCATCCGTAAGTCACATCACCGTCTTTTTATTTTTCATTCCCGCGGTCTTTTTCTTCTCCTTCTCCTCCCCTCCTCTTCCTCCTGCTCCCTCTCCTCCTCCTTTTCTCGGTAATTCCACAGTCAAAGCTCTTCTGGAGTGGAGCTATGCACAGAAAAAGCACAAAATTAATACTCGTTGAATGAGTGGAGGAAGTGACACAAAGGAGTCTTAAGTTACGAAGAGGTTTAATCTAGATAAAGGAGAAGGAGGATATTCCAAGTAGTGAGAATATAAAAACCAGGCAGTGTGAGTAATTTAGGGAGCTCCAAGTGGCTGAACATGGCTGGAGTAAAGGCTGGGTGATAGAAAGGTAACACAGCTTAGTGACAGCTAAGAGCCAGGACTCTGGGAGTCTGCTAGCTGTGGTTCAAATCCTGATTCCACATCTCACCAACCGTGTGTCTATGGGCAAATTATATAGTTTCTTGGTGCCTGTCTCATGGAGTATTAGGAAGATTGAATGAATTGTAGCATAAGAAGTGCTTGGAACAGTGCCTAATACATAATGAGTACTTAATAAATGTGGATCCTACTAGTATTATCATGTAGGTGAGTAGTGGGTAGTGGGATAGGCAGGGGACAGGTCCTGGAATTTCCCATGTAAAAAGGAAGAACATTTATGACAAAAGCCACTGGGAGTTTTTGAAGGTTTGTAAGAATTGGGGGGACAGGGTATGATTTGAATTTTGTGATTCTGGGACTGAACTGAAGACAGGAAGACCAGTGAGGAGGTAGTTGTAGTAATCCAGATGGAAAGAAATAAGGACTTAAAGGAAATCAAGTCCCAGTGTGACGGAGAGGAGAGGGAGCACCCAGGGAGAGGTAGCAGGTCGAATCATAGGACTCAGCACCTGCCCAAGTTAGAAAGAGGGCCGAGTCTCAGTTGTCAGGCACGGACAGATGGGTGGGTGAAGATAATAGTCACTGAGAATGGGAATACCAGGAAAGGGATGGATTTTGAGGAAGATGAGGAGTTTAGATCTGTACATGGTATTTTTGATTTTGGGTATATTGACTTAGAAGAGAACAGCCAAGTACCAATGCCCTAGTAGACAATGGACTCTGGGAAGAACTCTAGCCGATGTATTAAGTGCAGATGTTTATGTTCTGGGCTTAAGAACAATAATTTTTTGTTGGTTGTTTAAGATGCTACCTATACCGTGATTATAGATATTAATATTAAAAAGATTAACCAAACCCTATCTAGAAAATTGTGAAGTTGGGAGAGTCTTTGGGCAATTTGAGAACATTATCATTTATTGTTGGACAGAAGTGACTGAAACAAAGGCACTGCTAAAATCAGGGACACACAAATCACTGATTAGGTGATATTTTGAGGATTTTGTTAACTGACCGTATTTGCGATGACCTGCCTTTGACTGGACACATAATATGTAGTCATTATTTGTGCATTTGTGCATAAATATTAACATGTGCATGTATGTACAATGTGTTTATAGTTTTACACTTTCTAGTCACTCAAAAATTTTATTATGCCTCTGTAATTTTTCATCTTTCCCCCATAGGTATCTCTGATGAGTACATAACACCTATGTTTAGTTTTTATAAAAGCATTGCAGAATTGAAAATGACTCAGGAAGAGTATGCTCTGCTTACAGCAATTGTTATCCTCTCTCCAGGTAATTTCATTGCTACATTTTTATTTTTATGCTGTTTATTTGTTCTACTCCCTCTCCAGTACTAATGTTTCTTAAAGAACTGGAAGACACAGCAACACAAAGAAAAAGTAAAATGGCCTGTAATCCCACCACTCAAATGGAATCATTGTTAATATTTCAGTGTAGTTCTTCTCAGCCTTTTTTCTAAACATCACACTCATTCATTGAATAATTGCATTTTGAACACCTACTATGCACTAAACATGGTTCCAGACATTGGGGGATATAGCAGTAAAGAAACAGGCAGGAGACAGCTGCATGGAGTTTGCACTCCAGTAGGGTGAGAAAGACAATAAATGAGGAAACAAAAGTAATTTTCAGGAGGTGGTAATGCTAATATATATATATATATAAAGATGAGGATATAAGGAAAGAAAGTGGCAGAATGTTACTATTATTAGTAGTCAGGAAAGGCTTTTCTAAGGGGTTGGTATTTGAACAGGGACCTAAATGGAATTGCATACTTTTTAAAATAATAGAGAACATACTATATAATTAAAAAATTATATCAGTAATGGGGCACCTGGGTAGCTCAGTCAGTTAAGTGTCTGACTCGTGATTGCGGCTCAGGTCATGATCTCGGGGTTGTGAGATCAAGCCCCCCATTAGGCTCTGTGTTAGGCATGGAGCCTGCTTAAGATTCTCTCTCTCCCTCTTCCCCTGCCCCTCCCCCTCTGTGTGCACATGCATGCACTCTCTCTCTCTCAAAGAAAATTATATCAGTAAAAGTTTGTTGAAATATATGTATCCATCATATGGATGCACAATCATTTACTTGTTACCATGTTTGGATATTCAGGATGTTTCCTTTTTTTTGTTGTTTTAAACGATGTCAAAATGTATATCTCTGCACATAAAATTTGTATTTTTGGATTATTTTAATAATCTGAGAGCAATGCCACGTTCATGATTTGTAAAGCATAATTTCAATGTTAGCCTTTTTTTTTTTTTTTAAGATTTTATTTATTTATTTGACAGAGAGAGACACAGTGAGAGAGGAAACACAAGCAGGGGGAGTGGGAGAGGAAGAAGGAGGCTTCCTGCTAGCAAGGAACCTGATGTGGGGCTCGATCCCAGGTTGTTACTTTGTTTAACCATAAAACAAATAATTAAAATAAAAACTTTCTTGCCATACATACTAAAGTTACACACATATATACTCTATGACCCAGCAATTCTGCTACTTAGAATATACCCACTAGAAATGATACATATGTCCACCGTGTGGGTTACCTTTAGGGGCATAGATTAGAAAGAGAATTTAGGGAGGCTTCTGGTGAGGGGGCAATAAATGTTCTATATCTTGATCTAGTTGTGATTACATGTGTGTGTGTGTGAAAATTCATCAGGTTAAATAATTTGTACATTTAAAAGTGCACATTTATAAATTACATTGCAAGCAAGTTACTGTTGCTATAATTATGTCAAATTAACACTTCTCCACTTTTTAATTTTGTCTTTTTATTTTAAACCTCAAAACAGACAGACAATACATAAAGGACAGAGAGGCAGTAGAGAAGCTTCAGGAACCACTGCTTGATGTGCTCCAAAAGTTGTGCAAGATTTATCAGCCTGAAAATCCTCAACATTTTGCCTGTCTCCTGGGTCGATTGACTGAGTTGCGGACGTTCAATCATCACCATGCAGAGATGCTGATGTCATGGAGAGTAAATGACCATAAGTTTACCCCACTTCTCTGTGAAATCTGGGATGTGCAGTGATGAACATTGAAGGGGCAATAGCATCTAGCGCTTTATTTCCCTCATAATATAAATCTGATGTATAACTTTCTTTTATTTCATTTGTACCTGGTTTCACACAAGAATTTTGACGAATATTTATGCAGTAATTACATAACTTCCACAGTTGTAAATATAGAGCTAGATAGGATGACTTTCTTTATATTGTATTTTACAAGGCTTCAGGGACTCTTTCATTCTAATTGGCATGCCCTGCTTGCCTAATTAAATTGATCATTCTTTACCTCTATCTGTTGAAATAGGGAAAATTTCATTTTGCTCTTCATCTTACCTTATTTGCATACATTTTATCAAAGAGTTGTGTTCAATTTTGACAATAAACTGAACATAATGGCAACAGGCTTTTCTTCTGGAACAAAATTTGAAAAATACAAACTCATTTCTTTAAATGGTGAGTCACATCCTATTGGGCCTGGTGTGTGTGTGTCTGGGGCGTGGGGTGATGGGTAATTAACAAAAAGATAAACTCTCATAACACAAATGGTGTTTTTCTCATCCCTGGAGAAGTCCTGGTGAATATTCATTTATTTGTAATAGCCTGTGGATCATTTCATTTTCTTTGAAGTTCAAAGAGATAACATACAGAAAAATTAATGATTCTCACATAATATATTCCCTCAAGCAAACCCTTTTGCAGTTAGGGTCTTGAAGCAGCATTTACAAATGCAGACAACTCCCGTGATGGGATATTCCCTTTTCTCTCTTAAAAGCACTCACTATTCGCTTCAGTGCATATAATTAATCTTTTTTTTTTTTTTTGGTTTGTTTTGTTTTGCTTTTGGAAAACACTCCTACAGCTGGGTGCACAGCTGTTGTATACTTCCCCAAAGCAGGAATTATTTCATTTCCTTCATTCATTGTTACACTGTTGCATTCTTCTCCCCATTATCCTTTGGTGAATACAATAAAACACCTTCTATAAGTAATGGGCTTATATGTCCCTTTCTCCTGAAGTCAGACAAAATGGAGCTTGCTTAGCATGCCAAAGTGCTAAACATAGTGGAATGAGGTGGGACTAGCGTTAGTTGGATTCCACTTGCTACAACAAGAAGATTTGCGTCCTCACTAAGTACAAGATCCTTAGGACGCGGTAACTGCCTGGAGGGGTTTACAAAGAAGTGCAGAGGCAAGTTTTGTGGGCTCACTGGGCAAGTCTCATGGAGAAGGTGGCAATTCCCTACGACTTGGAAGGGTAGCCAGGACTTCCTTGGATCAGGGTGAGAGGGAAGGGCGTTCAAGGTGAAAGGACTGGCAGGAGCAAAAGCAGGGGGTGATGAGTTGTGCAAATGTTAAAAAAGCACAAGTAATCTGGGGAGAGACAACCCTTAGTACAACCCTTCCTGAGCCTCAGTTTCACCATTGTGAAATGAAGATACCAGCGCCTACCATCTCAAGGGACTGAGCTAATGAATGAAAAGTGGGAAGTTGCAGGCCCACCAAGGAAGAGGGGTGGTAAAGAAAGGACACTTCAGACAGAGCAGTCAATTTCTGAATGCCTGAAGGAGGAGATCCAGTTTGAGGAACTGAATGTGGTTTGGTGTTTCCCAGATTACAAGGCATCTGTAGGGAAAGTGATGGGAAATGAACTGGAACTGAGGGAGCACTATAGACAGAGCTAGGAGTTTATCATGTAGGTGTGGATTTATTCACGTAGTTAAGACCTTGTAATAGTAAATAACAATGCTTCTCATGTGGAAAACTGTGATAAAATAAGAAATAATGTCGGTTCTTTGTCCCCAGTTCTGACACAGAGCTTCTAAAACCTTTGGAATTTCCTGATAGGGGTGAAAGGAGTATCTTTTGTTATTCAAAACAAGCCCCTTTCAACCAGACTTGAGTTTATGCTAATAAGGTGATGGGAGTGGGGCTGTAAATGCTTCAGGATGGGGCATGATTGCTAGAGGAGCCAACCATGTGATTACAGAGCTGGATCTTTCAGCCCCATTCCCAGACTCTGAGGAAGGAAGATGATCCCAGAGATTGAGGTCAATCACCAATGGCCAAGGATTTAATCAATAATGCCTATGTAACGGGTCTACCATAAAAACACCTAAATGATGGGTTTGGAGAACTTCTGGGTTGATGAACACATTGAGGTGCTGGGAGGTCAGTGTGCTGGAGAGAGCATGGAAGCTCCATGTCCTCTCCCCCACCCCCATACCTAACCCTGTGCCTCTTCCATTTGGCTATTACTGAGTTGTACCCTTTATAATAAACCAGAAATAGTAAGTAAACTGTTTTCTTGAGTTCTGTGAACACTACTAGCAAATTATCAAAACTTTACAATCATTTGTAAAGATCTTATTTCCAAATAAGGTCACATTCTGAGGTTCCAGATGGATACGAATTTTGGGGAGGGGGCACACTATTCAATCCACTACATAGATAGAACATTTTAGTATCAATCACAACTGTTGTTATAAAATTTTATATCATTGAATTCCTTATACATATTATTTGTTAATGCAAATCTATAACATTTCTTTAAGATAAGCTTAGTATTGTTTTTAATGTAGTTGGCTCTCAATAGATTATCTGCTGAATGAGTAGTTTAGTTAATTATGAATAAATCAAGCCCTCTATTGCCCCCCAGATTTTATCCAGTACTTCACACAAGGTATAATCCATAGATTGACACTCAATAATGTCAAGGAATTAAATGTAACCAGCAGCAGCAGCCACAAAATGCAGAACAAAACAACTAATAAACCCATCAAAAGCAAAAAAAAAAAAAAAAATCAACAACTATGTTTTTTTTTAATTCCAGTGTACTTAACATACAGTGTTATATTAGTTTCAGGGGTGCAATATAAGTGATTCAACAATTCTATATATTACTCAGTGCTCCTCAGGAATAGTGTGCTCTTAATCCCCTTCACCTATTTCACCCAACCCCCCACCCACCTCCCCTCTGGTAACCATCAGTTTGTTCTCTATAGTTAAAGAGTCTGTTTTTTGGTTTGTCTCTTTTTCTCTTTGTTCATTTGCTTTCTTAAATTCCACATGTGAGTGAAATCATATGATAGTTGTCTTTTCTCTGACTTATTTTACTTAGCATTATACTCTCTAGGTCCATCCATGTTGTTGCAAATGGCAAGATTTCATTCTTTTTTATGGATGAGTAATATTCCACTGTATGTATATGTGTGTGTGTGTATCTATCTATCTATCATCTATCTATCTATCTATCATCTATCTATCTATCATCACGTCTTCTTTATCCATTCATCTATTGATGGACACTTGGGCTGCTTCCATAACTTGGCTGTTGTAAATAATGCTGCAATAAACACAGGGGTGCATATATCTTTTCAAATTAGTGTTTTTGTATTCTTTGAGTGAATACCCAGTAGTGTAATTACTGGATCATATGGTAGTTCTATTTTTAATTTTTTGAGGAATCTCCAACTGTTTTCCACAGTGGCTGCACCAGTTTGCATTCCCACTAATAGTGCCTGAGATTTCCTTTTTCTCCACATCCTTGCCAACACTTGTTGCTTCTTATATTTCTTATGGTTCTTTGTATTTTTGACTTCAGCCATTCTTTTTTTTTTTTTTTAAGAGAGGGGGCTTTGGAGGAGGGGCTGAGGGAGAGGGAGAGAGAATCTTAAGCAGGCCTCACACCCAGCATGGAGCCCAATGCGGGGCTCAACTCCCAACCCTGAGATCACGACCTGATCCAAAATCAAGAGTTGGACGCTTAACCAACTGAGCCACCCAGGCACCCCGACTTTAGCCATTCTGACAGGTGTGAGGTGATATTTCATTGTGGTGTTGCATTTCCCTGATGAGTGATGTTAAGCATCTTTCATGTGTCTGTTGGCCACCTGTATGTCTTCTTTGGAGAAATGTCTGTTCATGTTTTCTCCCCATTTTTAATTGGATTGTTTGGTTTTTGGGTGTTGAGTTGTATAAGTTCTTTATATATTTCAGATATTAACCCTTTATCAGATATGCCATTTGCAAATATCTTCTCCCATTCTCTATGCTGCCTTTTAGTTTTATTGTTTCCTTTGCTGTGCAGAATCTTTTTATTTTGATGTAGAACCAATAGTTTATTTTTGCTTTTGTTTCCCTTGCCTCGGGAGATAAATCTAGAAAAATGTTGCTACAGCCGATGTAAGAAAAATTACTGCCTGTGTTCTTTTCGAGGATTCTTATGATTTTGGGTCTCCCATTTAAGCCCTTAATCCATTTTTAGTTTATTTTTGTAACTACGGTATATTTTAAGCAATAGAGCATTCTTGCAGGGCTGTGAAAAAGCCAAATCATATTTCAACATCCAAGAGGTATATGATTTTGAGAGGCTCTTCTATTTGATTAGTCAGATAAGTGATTACTCCTAATGTAACAACTTAAAATTTAGATTTCCAAGCATGGTGCTTTCTTAAAGTGGGGGCACGTCTTTACAATTCTGGCAAAGTCATAACTAATAGACTTTATCATCTGATGAAAACAGACTGGTGAAGCTTGCTCTGAATGTTGCAACCATGGCAATTTCAAGTAAAGTAAGAACCTCTAAAATATAGCTATTAACCTAAGCACCAATTAGAATATCTACACACGAAAGTAGATTTCACCTCATTAGGTAGAACCCTCAATTACTAATTGTAGTGTTAAAATCAAGATAGGTAGGATGGTGAGTGCACTTAGGGAGTGAGGTACTAACTGGGAACTAAAATGGTACTAACTGGGAAATAAAAATGAGGTTAAGAAAGCAACAAGAGAACTTTCTTATTATACAGAAGGGAAAAGCAACAAGAATCAAAAAATTTAGAAGGGAACTCCTCACCCAATGTACACATCTAACCAGTGAGGGATATGGGCTTAAAGAGAAGTGATTTGCTTAGACTTTTTGATTGCAGATTCACTTTCCTCCTGTCTTGTATCTTTATAAGGTACAGAAGTTACCAAGACAAACTACATAGACAATGAGAATAAAAAGAAAGCATAAAATACCCTGCTGTCGAAGTTTCAGTAAATGGTTTAGAAATACTAAGTGGGATGTGTGTGTGTGTGTGTGTGTGTGTGTGTGTGAGAGAGAGAGAGAGAGAGAGAGAGAGAGATACAGAGTGTTTATGTACATATGTAAGTATAGCATACTTTCAATTTTTAATAAGTGGTATTCAAATGCTTAGGCACATAGTATGCATGTAAGAAAAAATTGTTAACTAATGACTCATCAAACAACTCTTAAAGTTCTGTAGAGAAGTGTACAGATTTTGATATTAGTACTCAATAAGTCCAATTTAAAGCTACTACTCCACTTGGAAATTTGGCTACATGAAGTAACATGACAAATTGTCCTTAGTTTTAAACAGAAACACTATAAAACATACAT